GGGGGGGAGAGGCGGGTCCCTCAGCCCAGCCTGTGCCTTCTCGCAGTCTGGGACCCCTCGGGAGATAACGACCTGCTGGCTTAGGCCTGCTCCCGGATGGCAGAGGGCAGGCCCAATCCCTAAGTGCAGCCCCTGGTTGGGCTCAGAGCAGGGCCGATTGGGGAATTGGGGTGCCGCCCCCTGTCATGCACAGAGCAGGGCCCATCAGGGGATTGGTGAGCTCCCCCCTGTCATGCGCAGAGTAGGGCTGATAGGGGAGTTGGGGCACCGCTCCCTGTCACAGAGCAGGGCAGATCAGCGGATTGGGGCACCACCCTCTATCACCCACAGAACAGGGCCAATCAGGGGGTTGGGGGACTGCCATTGTCACACTGAGGGCAGGGCTGATGGGGAGGTTATGGCTCTACCCCGTCACACACAGAGCAGGGCCCATGGCGGGGGGAGTTGGGGTGCCGCACCCTGTCACACACAGAGCAGGGCCATCAGGGGGTTTGGGCACTACCCCCTGTCACGCTGATCACAGTGCCGGGTGGCCTCGCGGCTCCGCTGATCCCAGTGCTGGGAGGCATATTACCATTTTACTATATAGGGTAGAGGCCTGGTGCACAGGTGGGGGTCGGCTGGTTTGCTCCAAAGGGTGTCCTGGATCAGGGTGGGCGTCCCCACTGGGGTGCCTGGCCAGCCTGGGTGAGGGGCTGAGGGCTGTTTTCAGGCTGTCGGGTGACTGAAGCTCCCAACCGCTCGTTTTTTTCTGTTTTTTATTCTGGGCCAGCTTTAGCTCTGAGGCTTGGCACCAGCTCTGCGGCCTCTGCTGCTGGGAAAGTGGAAACCCTCGGGCCCAGACTTGTGTTCTAATCGAAACTCTGTATCAACTCCAGCTCTGAGATCCCGCTCGCTCGCTGAAAGCAGGTTTCTGGAATTGTTTTTAGCTTCTATATGTTACTATGTTTCAAACTGCCCACTCAGGCCTGCAGCCGCAGGCTGGGAACATTGGTTTCCTCTGTCACAGAGGCAAGCAAGCCTCATGTTCAGGTTAAGCTGCCTGGCTGCTGGGCGCCATCTTGGCTGGCAGTTAATTTGCATATCGCCATGATTAGCCAATGGGAAGGGTAGCGGATGTACGGCTAATTACCATGTTTCTCTTTTATTAGATAGGATAAGCTACCTAGTCTGTGGCTTATTTTGTTATAGCTGCCCAAACAGATTAAAACAATGCTTCTTTATCATTCAGAACACCTTGGTCTGAAAACACACATATCTGAGAACTACCTCTGTAAAAACATAAAAAGTCCTATAAAAGTCTACAAAAAAAATCAGAAAATCTG